GCAATTGTAGCAACAAAAGCAGAACTTGTCAAGTACAGATGTCTTAACTGCACTTGCTTTAACGCAGGCATTGGGTCCATGATCCAGTAGCTTTGCACGTAAATCTGCCTTATAAAATGAGCCTGTGGTGACTAATCTCCTTTGGACGCCATCTACAGTGATTAATTCCTATTGATTTTGCTGACTGCTCGATCCTGGAGCTAAGTTAGTAGAATCTGATGAGCTCCTTCACAACCCAGCATATCTTAAACACTATATGGATTTTACTTTGTTCAAATCATTTGCAGTTTCCTCAAATCTCAAAAAAGAAAAATCATTGATAAATCTTTCTAAATGACTCAGTACTTTGGGAGCCTCCTTCAAAATACAGTACTAGTCTATATTTTGTATTTCTACCAGTTTCTTAGAATTACTGTGTTCTCTTAACATTTCCCAAGGTGTTCAGATCTATTTTTCTGGGAAGAAATAAGCATTAAACCTACAGGTTTTCTTCTTTTTATGCAGTCTTGAGCTCTTTATTTATTAGTTTTTCTATTTTTTTGTCTAGCCCCATTTTTTTCTTGATACATCCATAAAAAGACCATCTGTTCTTAGCATCATTGTATGTCTGCTCTACCCTCCCTACACTCTATCTCCCCTCAAGGATTTATGTGATAGTGATTTATTATTGCTTAACTATACACCTGATTTTCACAACCTCCCACTTCTCTTTTCCTCACCACCATCCTGCCCTGGCTTTCTCGTCCAAAGACTAATATACAATAGCTCTTAGCCACTCAGCTTCAGCATCATCTATGCTACTTACAGAAGCTGAGCTTTGGTTACTAACTGCTAAAACTCTTCAGTTTCTCAATCTGTACATAGAGTTGTTTGAATGGTTAAATACAGTAATACACACACAAACACACACACATATCAGGGTTTTGGCTTTTGTTTTCGTTTTCAGGGTTTTTTAACCTCAACATTATTGACGTTTGGCACGAAAACAGTCTTTGTCTTTGGACCACATTAGGTATTGAGGGATGTTTAGCAAAAATTATTGCTTCTATCCATTAGATACCGATAGCAACTTCCTGTCGCCATCGCTGCAGAGAGGTTGTGAGTACAGTAGTTATGTTGTGCTCAGAACACGCCGCGTCACAGCTCTCCTCCCTATCTTTTGCCGCATGTGTTCTTTCTATCCTCTCTTTTGTGACCTTCTTTGATACGTGGCCTTGATACAGATGTGCCATTTGGGCCTGAGCACTCAAGAATCACTTATTCTGACATTCCGACCAATTATGAATCTCTGAATTAAATACTGAATAGAAAAGAGATGTTTCCCCCCTGCCACTAATCTACAAGCATAAAGATGAATATTTAGAAGACTGTATAACATGTCATTTGCCAAACCAAAACAAAAATAGTGGGTTCCACCTTAGGGTCTATAACCTCCCAAGCCATGAGTTTTGACTAAGCTGATAGTACCAGACATAAATTCCTTCCTGTAGAACAGGCCTCAAATCAGATCTAAAAGTAGTTGATTAGTATACAGCCTTTATGCCACCAGTAGCACATCTTGCCTGGAAAGTTAGTATTTTAGGATAAGGGACTAGCCACAGGGTAACACTGATGTCCTTTCTGTCCCAGGGACCTACGTAACTTACTCCAGCACTGTGAAAGCTAGTGAGCAAGGAAAGAAGTTTTAATTTGATTACTCTATATTGTGACATCAAAGTATATTGTCTCTTCAGCAATAGAGTCTTACCATCTAGCTGCGATGAGCAATCAAGATCAGTGGCAATAAATTGTGCAGTTGATGGGACCTTTGGGTATTCCCCTGACCAATATCTTATTAAGGATCTATCTCACACCTGCCACCAAGATTTATAGAATAACTGAATTCTCCTGGAGAACCATTGTCCACTCATGCAAAGTATCTGCATCCAATTCCTTTTGCTTTTTAAGTTATATATTTTAATTAGCTTTCAAAGTAGTGACATTTCATGCGGGATTTTCAAATTGTTTTAATTATTATTTATTGGGAGGTGCTAATGTCAGAAGACAACATGTGGGGCTCAGTTCTTCCAACATGTGAATTCTGGAGATCAAATCCATATCATCAGACGCGGAAGCAAATACCTTTACTGCAATGTAATTCTTAATGATATGAGCTGCTTTTATTTGTTTTTTAATCCAGGGTTGTTCTATAAGCTTCCCATTTCATGTACTATTGGAAGTAATTAGGAGATTTAAAAACAAAAAATGTTCTCAGGCTACATAAAAAGGGGGAGACAAAACAAAATAAAAACCTGAGTGATCTAAGCCTGTGGAAGCTCCATTCTATAAACTAAATAAACTAACAGACAAAAAAAATGTAATAAATATATTAATATTTACTCCCGACTTCCTTGGTATTCTAGAAAATACACACTCAAAGTGTATACTGTCATTTGGCTGCTCATTTTACTGAACTCTGGTTTCTTCTTCTGATCTGAATTAAAATGAGGATATTAAATCCAATTTGCAGTTACCTTTGCATATTTTGTGACTTCAGACATTTAGACTATGACTCACCGTGTGACTAATTTTAAAAGTTCTTCAAGCTAACAGTGTTCCTTTCACTTTCTCTAGTTTTTCTATAATGTGCTCACCCCACGGCATGCTTTTTGAGGTATTAGTCAGACAGACTGACAGTTGAATTAAAAAAAAACAAAAACCACAACACAATATATTCTTTCCATACCTCATGCCTTCATCCACAAAAATGAGATCTGTAGAATTTCTAATTAATAAGTTTCATAACAATTAAGATACATTCATGGGGCCGGGGAAAGGACTTGGTGGTTAAGAGCATTTTCTGCTCGGTTCCCAGAACATACATGGTGACTCACAAACATCTGTTACCCCAGTTCCAGGGTTTCTCCTGCCCTTTTCTGGCCTTTGTGGGCCATAGCCACACGTGTGGCACACAAACATGCAGGCAAGCAAAAATGTCACAAATACGTTCAAGGGCTAGAGAGATGATGCAGCCGTTAAGAGGACATACCGCTTTGCAGAGAACCGGGGTACAGTTCTCAGCAGCCAAGGTGGGTGGTTTCCAAGTGCCTGTAAATGCAGCTCCCAGATGTTGAATACCTGCTAACCCCTGTGGCCATCTGTACTCATAGGCACATACCCCCACAAAGATATTGACAGACACAGATACACAAACACACATACACACACACACTCAAGAGTATTTTTAAAAGATACAGTGTTAAAATTATAGAAAATGCCAGGCATGATAGCTATTTCTTTTCTTTTTTTTTATTTTTTTATTTTATTCTCGACCAATACTACCCAATATGCAAAAATACAGTGAAATAAAAAATACTTACTAGGGTCATAAAAGCAGTGTCTCTTTTAAGTCACTATTGTCATAGCAAGTCTCTCCAAATGATGAAAGCCATGATTTTTGTGTGCATATAACTTTTTCAATGTCTTAATTTCAGTTACATATTTGTGTTAAAAAAAAAAAAAACCCTAACGTTGTAGAAACTTATAATCTGGAAGATAAAAAGTCCTCATATCTAATATCACCTGGTTGTCTACGGCTCTACAGCTAATGAATGGTGACAACCTATGCCAATTTTCACGTGCTTTCCTAGCCTACACTAATTGATACATATGCTTGCTAAGATGAGATTACATCACACACTTGCAGATGGACGCTACTCACTTAAAATACATCTTCCATGTCTGAATCAACACATTTGGCACCTTCTCGGGCGCAGAAAGGGATACATTGGAGGCCTGCTGGCACCATGTCACAGGGTCTAACTGGGAAAGCCCTGGGGCTGTTCCTTGCACTGCCAACCACTGATCCTTTCTCTCAGACCACAGATCTAAGAGGGGCACCAGGACGATGAATCAGAAGTGTGTTGTCAGTTTGCACAAGGAGGTCCCACCATTTGGGAGGAAAACCTGAATGAAGAAGGCACATTTATTCGCCTGTTATTCCTGAGGATATTAGAAATATTTCAAATGTCACACCCTACACCCTCGGAACAGAAGTCAGCCTTAGAGTATGGAAGCCCAGGCATGTACAACCTACCTGATGCAGGAAGGAAATTTCACTTGAGGGCGTTAAAGATAAGTGAATACTAAAATCGCCAAAGGCTGTCATTCTTTGTCTCTGTTTTTACTATCTCAAATTCCTCTTATAAACTTACTTTCAAGTGAGTAAGTCCTCTGTCTTTTCTATGCCTTTGTTAGCTGGTTTTTGTTTTAATGACAAAAACAGCTGTTTTTAACCAAATACCAATACATCAGACATGAAGTATCCGTTTCCACCCAAAGCATGTGGTGCATGGTTGCATACTGGATTATAACAGATGTAATATTTGATTTGTGCACCAAACTTTCACCTTACTTACAGACCAAATGAAAGAATATAGAGAGAGCCCAGAGCATTCGAATTACTGGAGGGCTTTGTCAAGCAGTAGGCATAACCGCAGACTCCACAACAGGAGAGAATAGTTGACACAAAGAGGCTCTGACATTGTTCTGTAAAAACAGTGAGAGGTGTTAATATACAAAGCAAGGACGTTTGATGGGTGCCTAGGCTATGATTCCTCTGTCCTGTCAACCAGGGGGCCAGAACCACGGTGTTGGGGGCTGAGTCGGGAGCTTCTTGCTGAAGACTATGGAGTTAAGGACAGCAGAGTTGTGCAAGAGCACTTCCTAAGCCTGCAGAACCCCAAGACTATGAACTCTCTGGAGGCCATTGTCCAAGGTGTTGAAGCTTATATGATACAAAAGTGTACAGGTAAAAGTGCAGAGTGGTCAAGGAACCAAAGCCAAAGTGACAAATGGGTCATGATCTGGGTCTTTTAGCTCTGCCGTCAGTAGGAGGCTAGGTGCTCAGTTCTGTTTCCTTTTCCTCAAACTGGCTGATGTGGCCTTTTCAGAAGTATTGTTTTGAGAAATAAAACGTATCAGTCATGTGACTTATGGCTGTCCCAACCTGTTTCTTTCAGATACCATTGTTCTTATTGCTTCAATAGCAGTTGTTTCTGCAAAAACTCAGGGTAATATTTTCGCCACGTCAGCGCTCAGAAGTCTCCGGTTCCTACAGATCCTGCGCATGGTGCGCATGGACAGAAGGGGAGGCACTTGGAAGTTGCTGGGCTCCGTGGTTTATGCTCACAGCAAGGTAAAACTGTGCTTCTTTGCACTGCATCGGAAAATGTTTGAAATGTTCTGTTGATCGCAATAATGTTTAAAATAGTCTTAACACGGGCTGTTACTTCAGACTGTGGTTCAAGCCATTTGAAGCCCCGGTACATAATGCATTACTTTAAAACCTTCATCTATTTCCTAGAAGTAGGAGCATGATTGATTCACACAGAGATTTCATGTTTCCCTTTTCAAAGATTCTTTTCACCTCTAAAATGTTTCACTCCTTTTAATCCTAGGAATTAATCACAGCTTGGTACATAGGATTCCTGGTCCTTATTTTTTCATCTTTCCTTGTCTATCTGGTGGAAAAAGATGCCAATAAAGAGTTTTCTACATATGCCGATGCTCTCTGGTGGGGCACGGTAAGTATAAAAATATGTTTTTGCCTATTAGTTATTCTGAAGTGTTTCCACTAAATATAACCTAATGGTTTTCAATGAATGGTCTCAGTGAAAATATTAACTTCCAAAAGGGATGAATGCAGAAATGTATGGTATTTATAAGTGATCTGAGACAGTTCTGTGCCTGTGGGGGCAAAAAATTAAACTTACACATAAATTATCATTTTTTGAGTGCTCAGTTGTTTCCAAAGTAAAAATTTATTATTTTGAAAATAAGAAACAGTAACAGGCGTCTGTTTTAACTTTATAAACTTAATGACTTGATTTACTACTCCAGGAAAAGAAAAAAAGTTTTTTGGTTGTCAAAAGAATGAAAAGAAAAAATGTGTGGCACATGCCTATAATCTCAGCAGTATGGAGTCTGGGACAGAAGGATAATGAGTTTAAGGCCAGTTTGGGCTACATAACACAACACTTTAAAAAAAATAACTGAAGCAACAAAAAAAAAAAAAAAGAAAAGAAAAGAAAAAGAAACATTGAATAGCAGCTGACTCAAAGTGAGAAAATTAAATGCCTCAATTAAGAAGATAATGCTGGGGACATCAGAGCTGAAAGACCAGAGATCATGTATAACTTATTATAATATTTTCCATTAAAATCTTATTTTACATTGTTATAAATATTTCCCAAAGAAGTGAAAGTAAAAATTACAGTTGTCATACAAATAGAAAATAACTGGGCATGGTGGTGCATGCCTTTAATCATAACACTAGGGAGGCAGAGGCAGGCAGATCTCTGTGAATTTGAAGCCAGCCTATTCTACAGAGTGAGTTCTAAGACAGCCAGAGATACACAGAGGAACCTGTCTTGAAAAGACAGAAGAAGAAAGAAAGAAAGAAAGAAAGAAAGAAAGAAAGAAAGAAAGAAAGAAAGAAAGAAAGAAAGGAAAGAAAAGAAAGAAAGAGACAAAGAGAGAAAGAAGGAAAGAGAGAAAGAGAGAGAAAAAAGAGACGAAAGTAAATGTATGTTGTTTATTATATTTAATTCAGGTTTATAATGTATCAATTAACCAGGCGTGGTGTCACATGCCTTTAATCCCAGCACTGGGGAGGCAGAGGCAGGAGGATTAAAGCCAACTTGTTCTACAAAGCAAGTCCACTACAGCCAATTACACAGAGAAACCCTGTCTCAAAAAAAAAAAAAAAAAGAGAAAGAGAAATTTATCAATCAAGTGTCACAGTCAGTTCAAAATAACTGATCAAAGCACAGAAAGAATTACTAAATGTCAGAATACTGAAACATAAGTATATGTATATACTTATATGTATAAGTATATGTTTCAATCAATAGAGAAAAAATCTGGCTGCTTTCATAGTACAAGAAACATATCAGTGAACACCTACTATATAATATATATATATGGCAAAAGTTATTTTGCATTACTATGTGTTATCTACAACTCTAAGAGTTGTAAGATAGTTCTAAAAGTCATGAAGATGCGGAACCCAATATTCCCTAAAGGTTGTTCTGTGAATAGTGCATTTTTTTTCTTTCAGGCAAAAGTTTCCCCTGCATTGTAAAGAATTTATAAAACAGTCATTTGGAACTTAACCTTAATAAGAAGGTTACTGTATATGGGAGTACTTTATATAATATAAAAATTACACTTATTTTTATTTTATAGCTTTATGGTCTTTTAAAAGGGAGTTATATGGAAATACACAAGATTTATAATTTTGTAAAATGTTTTTATTTTATTCTTGAGATTATAATATAATTCCAACAAATCTCCCTTCCGTTTCTCCCCTGAACCGTTCTATATATCCCTCTCCATTTTCCTTCAAAATCATGGCTTCTTTTTCACTAATTGTTTCACTATTGTGTGTATACATATAGTTATAGTTATGCATATATCTACATGTATGTACATACATATATATTCCTAAGTGTTACCTGTACAGTGCCTATAATGTCACTTGTATGTATGCTCTCATGGCTGACTATTTGGCACTAAACAACCCATTGTTATGCTCTTCTGTTGGGAAGACACGCCCTCCCACTCCTAGCTTTCTTCAATTGCTTATAGTTCTTCATAAAGGGCTGAGGCTACATGGGCTTTTTCGGATCTACTTTGTCATGTCCATTGGTGTTGTCCTTGTTCATCTCATATTTGCACAGTCATGCTAATGAGACCTTATGGGTGTAGCTTCTGATATTACTAGAAGATACAATCACAGCAACCTCCCTAACCCTCTGGTCCTTACAGTCTTACGGCCCCTTCTTCTGCAATGTTGCCTGAACCTGCCAAGTGTTTCTGTAGAAGTAGTCAATGGGTCCAGGCTCCACAACTCTGAATTTTGATCGATGGTGGTTTTCTGTAGTGGACTCTGTCTGTGGCAAAGAGAAATTTCCTTGGTGAGAGATAAGACTATCTGTGGATATAAGTAAATATGTTTATAGGTTGTTCAAGGATTAGATTGGTTTTGTAAATTTTTATCTATAGAGTCCCCTACAATGAGCATAGCTTTGCTAGCACTGAGTAGTTAGTGAGGTTTCCAGTACTATGAATAATTTCACTCTTGTTTCGAAGGAGTTTAGAAGTCCAATTGGAGAGCCTTTGGTTATTACCAAGATATGCACGCTGCTCCTCTGCCCATAGAGTTATTGTGGCATACTGTTCTGTAGATATGATTGGTAGGCATCACAGCTGGGAAGGACTATTGATTGTTTCCCTCCTATGGAAGCTTGTATGGTGCCTTCCAGTACCATGAAATCTAGTCATCAAGGAGAGGGCATTCAAGTCAGTTCCAGCTCATGAGTTTCTGCACCATGTCTGGAGTCCATGGTCTCTTCAGCAATAGGGACTTACTTTCCTCCTCTCAGGGGTAACCAAGAGCAACAGCCATAGACTATATGCTTTAGGAGGCTCTCGGACAGCCCTGACCAACAACTGAAATGACAGCTTTCTTATGGGTACTGAGGGCTTTCTTATGTGATCTTTGGCACCTGGAAGGAGCACCTTCAGCCGAGATGAGAAAAGTTCACTAAAGCTATGAATGTATATTTATATATTGAATTAGATGCATTACAGTGTGGGGCCCCCACCACCAGCAGCAGCCATTTGCACTGGTGTTAGAATGCTGGAGCAGCTGGGAACCTGTTTGTTCAGGGGTAGTAAGTACAGGAGGTTTGAATGACCCAGGAGACGGTGTCAGAGGATAGCTCCTTTATTAAAATAGCCAGGCTAGCTTACATTGCTTGAGTCAGGGAGTAGGGGGAAAGGAAAAAGGACAAGGGAGGAAGTGCTGCATAGTAGGTAGGGCCTTCCTATCGTATCAGCTAGACTGCTGGTCAGGTCACATGATTTCTGGGAAGATAGTTCTCTGATGAGGAAACAGAAGCTTAACTGGCTTTGTCGTGATGTGGCCTTTGTCTTTATGGAGTTGAGTAGGCCCCCTCCTGCCGTGTGCTCTCGGGGAGATGTCCCGGCTATGAGCAGTGCTCAAACTAGTGTCCCTTATAGAGCCTGGGAACCCACATTACACGTTTTCATTTGTATGGCTTGGTTTGGGTTGGTTTTGTTTTTTGAGACAGAATTTCTTGTGTAGCCTTGGCTATCCTACACTTGCTTTGTAGACCAGGCTGGCCTCGAACTCACAGATATCTGCCTGCCTCTGCCTCCCAAATGCTGGGATTAAAGTCTTGTGCCACCATGCCTAGCTCATTGCAGTTTTTTTTAAATAGATAAATAGTTAACATGATTTCTTGTAGCTTTTTAAGAATCCTTATTAGTATTTTACCCACTTTCCTCTTTCTTCTGTATTCACCTCCCTTTCTCCTTCTTCCTTCCTCCCTGAAAATCCTTCCATTTTCTTTTGTTGTTTTGTTTTGTTTGTTTACCTTTATAATTTAGTCACTTTACATCCTAATTGTAGCCCCCTCCCTCATCTTCTCCCAGTCCCACCTTCCCTCCTTCTTCCCCCTCTATTCTCTTCCCCTATTTCTCAGAAAGAGGGAGCCTCCGCCCCTATCATCTGACCCAGCCTATCAAGTCTGCTTGCATCCTCTTTCTCTGTGGCCTGGCAATGCCCCATCACCAGGAGGGGAGTGATCAAAGAGTGGACAATAGAGTCCATGTCAGAGACAGCCCCTGCTCTCCTTCCCATGGAACCCACCTGGAGACTGAGCTGCCTATGAGCTACAAGTGAGCAGGGAGTCTAGGTCCTCTTCATGCATAGTCCCTGGTTGGTGCCTCAGTATCTGCAGGCCACTCTGGGCCTAGATTTGTTGGCTCTGTTGGTCTTCTTATGGAGCTTCTGTCTTCTCTAGGTCCTTCTATTCCCCTACTCTTTCCTATAACTCTCAGCACTGTACTCAAAGCTTGGCTGTGAGTCTTAGCAATGCCAACAAGCCAAATAATCCAATTAAAAATGGGGTACAGAACTAAACAGAGAATTCTCAACAGAGGAATATCTAATGGCGGAGAAATATTTAAAGACATGCTCAACCTTCTTAGTCATCAAGGAAATGCAAATCGAAAATGACACTGAGAGCCCATCTTACACCTGTCAGAATGGCTAGAATCAAAGCCTCAAGTGACAACACATAATGGCAAGGATGTGGAGAAAGGAGAACCCTTCTCCATTGCTGGTGGGAGTGCAAACTTGTATAACTGGTTTGGAAAACAACCTGGCATTTTTCTCAGACAATTGGGAATAGTGCTACTTCAAGACCCCACCTATACCCCTCTCTCAGATGACTTGTATCTTGCCATTCATTTTACCTGTTTTCCATTTTCTTCTGTATTTACCTCTCTTCTTCCTCCTACAGAGAGCTCTTTTCCCATTTGTATAAAATGTTTCCACTCTTTGTATTCCAAAAGGAAAACCTCACTTAGAAATCCCACATTCTTGAGTGCCAGCCAGCTTTTTTGCCACGCTAGCACCATATCATCATCTTAAGCCACGAATGAAGCACTGTTAGGTTTGTGGAGCACAGATTTAAGGTAAGTTTGTCTGTTA